TGACCATATGTTAGGCCACGAAACAAGTCTTAACAAATTTTTAGAAATGGAAATCATATCAAGTATCTTCTCTGACCATAATGGACTACAACTAGAAATCAGTAGCAAGAAAAACTCTCAAAACAGTTCAAATACATGGAGACTAAACAATATGCTCCTGAATGACCAATGGGTCAAAAATTAAGAAGGAAATGAAATAATTTCTTGAAACAAATGAAAACAGAAACACAATATACCAAAACCTATGGGATACAGCCAAAGCAGTACTAAGAGGGGAGTTTATAGCCTACATCAAAAAAATAGGTTTCAAATAAACAACCTAACAATGTTTCTTAGGAAATAAGAAAGGCAGGAACAATCCAATCACAAAATTAGCAGAAGGAAAGAAATAATAAAGATCAGAGTAGAAATAAACAAAATAGTACAAAAGACTAAAAAAATAATACAAAAGATCAACAAAACACTGTTGACAAGCCATTAGGTAGACTAACCAAGAAAAAAAGAGAAAAGACTCATAAATAAAATCAGAAATAAAAGAGACATTATAACTGATATTACAGAAATACAAAAGATCATTAGAGATTATTTTGAACAACTACATGCCCAACAAATTGGAAAACCTAGAGAAAATGGATAAATTCCTGGCACATACAATCTACCACGTTTGAACCAAGAAACGGAAAACCTAAGAGACCAATTATGAGTAATAAGATTGAATCAGTAATAAAAAGTCTCTCATTACAGAAAAGCCCAGGACCACATGGCTTCACTGTCAAATTCTACCAAACATTTTAAATGGAATTAATACCAATTCTTCTCAAAATATTGAAGAGGAAGAAACTCTTCCAAACTCATTCTGCAAGGCCAGCATTACCTGATACCAAAACCAGACAAGGACACAACAAAAACAGAAAACTATAGACCAATATCCCTGATGAACATCACTACAAAATACCAGCAAAGCAAATCCAGCAGCATATAAAAAAAATCATTCACCATGACCAAATGGGATTCATCTCAGGGATACAGGATTGGTTTAACATACACAAATACATAAACATAATACATCACATCAACAGAATAAAGGACAAACACAAAATGATCATTTCAAATGACACAGAAAAAGGATTTTATAAAATTCAACTTCCCTTCATGATAAAAACTCACAACAAATTAGGTATAGTAGGAACACATCTTAACACAATAAAGTCTATATATGACAAACTGACAGCTAATCTCAGACTGAATGGGGAAAAGATGAAAGCTCTTCCTCTAAGAACTGGAAGAAGATAAGGATGGCCACTCTCTCCACTCTTATACAACATAGTCCTGGAAGTCCTAGCCAGAGCAATTAAGCAAGAGAAAGAAATAAAGGCATCCAAATTGGAAAAGAGGAAGTCAAACTGTCCCTGTTTGCAAAGGACATGATCTTATATATAGAAAAACCTAAAGACTCCACCAAAAAACTCTTAGAATTGATAAATGAATTCAGTAAGGTTGCAGGATACAAAATCAACATACAAAAATCAGTAGCATTTATATACACCCATAACAAGCAAGATGAAAAAGAAATCAAGAAAGCAGTCCCATTTACAATAGCTAACAAAAAAAATAAAATACCTAGGAATTAATTTAACCAAGGAGGTGAAAGCACTCTACAATGAAAACTATAAAACACTGATGAAAGAAATTAAAGAAGACACAAAGAAATGGAAAGACATTCCATGTCTGTGGGTTGGAAGAATTAATATTCTGAAAATGACCTTACTACCAAAAGTGATCTACGTATTCAATGCAATCCCTATCAAAATACCAATGACATTCTACATAAAAATAGAAAAAACAATCCTAAAATTCATATGGAGCCACAAAAGACTCTGAATAGTCAAAGCAATGTTGAGCAAAAAGCACAAAGCTGGAGGCATCACACACCTGACTTCAAAATATACTACAAACAGATACACAGACCAATGGAACAGAAAAGAGAACCTAGAAATAAAACCATGTATTTAGAGCCAACTTATTTTCAATAAAGGCACAAAGAGTATTCATTAAGGAAAGGACAGTATCTTCAATGAATGGTGTTGGGAAAACTGAATAGCCACATGCAGAAGAATAAAACTAGACCCTCGTATCTAAATATATACAAAAGTCAACTCAAAATAGATTAAAGACTTAAATGTAAAACCTGAAACCATGAAGCGACTAGAAAAAAACATAGGGGAAACAATTCAGGATATTGGGCTGAGCAAAGACTTTATGAAGACCTTAAAAGCACAGGCAACAAAAGCAAAAATAGACAAATGGGATTATAGCAAACTAAAATACTTCTGTACAGGAAAGGAAACAATCAACAGAGTGAAGAGACAACCTGCAGGATGAGAGAAAATCTTTGCAAACTATGCATCTAATGAGGGACTAATATCTAGAATATACAAAGAACTCAAATGACTCAATAGCAAAAAAAACCCCAAATAATCCAATCAAAAAATGGGCAAATGAACTGAACAGACATTTCTCAAAAGCAGATATGCAACTGACCAAGAAGTATATGAAAAAATGCTCAACATCACTAATTATCAGGGAAATTCAAATCAAAAGCACAATGCAATATCATTTCACTCCAGTTAGAATGGTTATTATAAAAAAGACAGAAAATAACAAATGCTGGCACTTGGTGGGAGTGTAAATTAGCACAACCATTACAGAAAACAGTCTGGAGATTCCTCAAAAAACTACAAATAGAATTGACATATGGTCCAGCTATCTCTCTACTGGGTATATACCCAAAGGACAGGAAATCAGTATATGAAAGAGATAATTGCACTCCCATGTTTACTGCAGTACTATTTACAATAGCCAAGACATGCAATCAACCGATGATGGGTCCATCAACAGATGAATGGATAAAGAAAATGTGGTACGTATATATAGTGGAATGCCATTCAGCCATAAAAAAGAATGAAATCCTGTCATGCGTGGCAACATAGACAAGCTTGGAGGACATTTCGTTAAGTGAAGTAAGCCAGGAACAGAAAGAGAAATAACGCATGTTCTCACTCACATGTGGAAGCTAAGATCACACAGAAGTAGAGAACAGAATGGCAGATATCAGAGGTTGGAAAGCATAGGGCGTAGGGTGGATAACGAGAGGTTGGTTAACGGATACAAAAGTACATCTAGATAGGAAGAATAATATCTAGTGTTCTATAGCACTGTAGGGCGACCATGATTAACAACAATTTGTTGTATAGTTTCAATTAGCTAGAAGATAGGATTTTCAATGTTTCCAGCACAAAGAAATGATAAATGTTTGAGGTAATGGAAAAAAAAAAAAATCAGTGGTTGCCAGGATTTCAGGGGATGAGGGAGGGAGGGATGAACAGGTGGAACACAGATGATTTTTAGGGCAACAAAACTATTCTGTGTGATACTGTAATGGTTTAACACACGATATTACGCATGAGGCAAAACCCGTAGAACTGTACAATACAAAAAGGGAACCCTAATATAAAGTTAACAAAAATACATCAGTATTGATTCATAATTGTCACAAATGAAGCATACTAATGTAACATGTCAGTAACTGTGTATGTGAGTGGAGGGAGGGGATGGGAACTCTGTACTTTCTGCTCAATTTCTCTGTAAAATTAAAACTGCTATTAAAAAAAAGAATAATAATAACTTTTTAAAAAGCAGAGAGTTAACTCTTTATGTGGAGTTAACTTAGCTCCCAGGAATTTAAGGTTCAGAAGACTTGAGAGAAAAGGTCAGAGAAGAGATAGAGCCTGAAGACTGCACCCTGAAGTGAAAGACATCTGCAATAAATTTCCAGGGGTTGGGTGGTTTCAGATTTCTAGGAATGGGTTATGTACTAAATTTTTTTCACTGTTGCACTGATTCGTCAGAAAACGTCTGATACACACAACTTACTGTTCGTGGGGGAAAAAAAGATAGCATGCCTGAGACTGCTATCCTTAGAAAAGTCTGATTGCAAGGTTGGCCTTTGGTTTGCATCTGGGAATTTGAATTTTCAGAGTTTTCCCATCATTCCCAGAAGATAAGAGTGGCTTGCTATACCTAAACTGTTTATACAAACATGCTGATTCATGCTGAATTCTTGCTTTCCTTCTAAGGGAGAATGGAATTTTGGTATGCATGAGGAAAAGGGTGCCTATGTGACCAGCACTCAATAAAAACCTTTGGCACTGAGTTTCTAATGAGGATCCCTGGTAGACAACATTTCACACATGCTGTCACAAGTCATTGCTGGAGGAATTAAGCATATCCTGTGTGACTCTATTGGCAGGGGACCCTTTGAACCTGTAACTGGTTTCCTCCAAACTTCACCACATGCACCTTTTCCCTCTGCTGACTTTACTTTGTATCTTTTCAATGCAATAAATCACAGTCATTAGTGGGACTCTGCTGAGTCTGTGAGTCCTCCTAGTGAACCACTGAAACTGGGGGTGGTCTTGGGGATCACCAACACACCCATATACTATTTCACCTAATTTGAACAATCTCCCTATAGGAGGTAGATATTACTATCCCTACATTATAAAACTCAGGATCATAGAGATTAAGTGACCTGGAAAAGGACAGACACTTATAAGGTTAGGATTTGCACAAACTTTTTGCTTTCAAATTTACCACTTATATATTTCCTAAGGGAAAGGAAGCAGATAACACATATTGAAGGTTCACAATAAATAATAACTCTCAAGTTAAATAGTCTAATAATAGCTTCAAGTTAAAAAAATTTCCTGAGCCTTGGCTTTTCCAATCTTTAAAATTTAAAATAGCATAATAGAGTATGTTAGGGGGTAGTGGTATAAGTATACATTACCAAAGAATAGTAAATTCTATACAGATTATTTCTCAATATTGAACCACTTCCCTACATTTTCTCTTTTCAATAGTTCCTTAAGGGCCTTATGTAATACTGTGGTATTGGATATTCTTAGTTTGAAGATCTTTATGCAGGAAGCCTTGAATACCTTTTAGTAAAATCTTTAAAGCAGAGTCGCAGTTTATTATGATGTCTGAAGAGCTTTGGGTCACTGGGTATTTCAGACAGGAAAACCTGGGCAACTTCCAAAGGACCCTATAAAATAAGAAAATAGAACAAGAATTGTGTTTTTTTTCTTCTCTAAAATCACAGAGACTAAATTTACCCAAATGATCTCTCTTGGAATTGAGATGGCTGCATTTAAGGTTAACGCATATATGTCTATGCCTATATTAAAACTCTTTAGAGAGAGACTGTTTCAGTTTTTAGTAATTTCATACCTATATTCTTGCCTACTGCAATTAAATTAGCATTATTTTTTCAAATAAACAGAGAAACTCAAGGACTGACTATTGTCATTAATGTAGTTTGCCTTGTATGTTTTACATTCTTTAATTTATTGTGGATGTGAAAGTTGTCAGGCTACTACATCTGCCAATCCACTGATTATTAGACTTGATTTTGCTAAAAGAGCTTCCCTCAGTATTCCAAAAGTATTCCTGACACTGTAAGTTAAAAAGATGAACTTTCGTAAGTTACGTTTGGAGGTAAACCCTCAAAATCATGTATGTTTTTAGGGGGTAAAGGTCTTAAGATATTTATTTCAGTTTTGGTAGGGCATTTTTTGGCTTTGTTCCTTTAATCTAAAAAGTAGGTAAGGCATATTACATAAAATCTTACTTGAAGCCTTTCTGAATTTTCCCTTACCTTGAAATATCCCTTAAGATTAGGGCCATGCCTAAAATCATCAACAAGAGAATATGAATGAACCAACTACAAGGAGATAATGGGGATGGCTTCAAATCTGCATATGACAAAACAATAATAATATCTTGTGTACATATATTATTAACATTTTCAAAATGATTCCACATCATTTATTTAATCCTCATAACTCATTGTAATGGAGATCTGGAGAAGATACATCAGGGAGAATCTAAGTAGTTGTTCATGCATGTATGTGCATAGCTCTGAAAATGAGTCCTTTTTTTGGTGGGGGAGGGTTACTGGCCAGTATGGGGAGAGTCCTCCTTTTTAGATCACATTCTTTCAGTATAATCTTTTTACAGAAACGCTATTTTAATTGAATCACTTCCTTCATAATAGAATGTGTAAGAATACACAGGTATAAAAACACAGGCGAAAATAAAAAAGGAAAAAAAACCACAGGCAGGTATGAAAACCTTAAGAACTGAGAGTATACTAAAAAGCTTTTGTTTTTCAATTTCCCTTTATTTATACTTGCAGTTTTTTTCCAACTACTTCTAACTACTTTTCACTTGATTTAACATTTATTGGTGGTCTTTGTATATAATAACAAAATTATTCCAAATCCTATTTATAACTTAAATCACACAGTGCTAGTAAAAAAGCACAAACCTGATTAACTGTTGTGCCTACAGATCCCTGGAGTACCATCTGAAGCATTTTGGGGTCTGCTGGATCCTGATGTGTAGCAAATGCCAACTCCTGTGTTTTTTTCTGCATGTCTTCAATAGCAACTTCAATTGGTGTTAATATGATCTGAGTAAAATAGCATCGATTAGGTCAGTGTACAGATTGAAAACGGTTTAATGAGCTTTATATATAATTAATTATAATTAGAAAAAAAAATGGCAATGAATTGTAAACTTATATGTAACAATAAAATTCCAAACTTGCATGCCTAAATGGGAGACAAAAAAAAAAGTAACCTTTTAAAAGCACAAGCTGAGGGTTAACTAGGGACTTAGAAAAGAAGCCAAAAATTAATGACTCAAAAATCGGTAAAGATCTAGCAAGTTACTGTGTGAGGGATGGTACACATCTTGTGCTACATCCGCACTGCTGTTACATGGTTCAAATGTATTTGTTTCACCAAGTCTACTTCCCCATTTACGGACTTACCTCCTCTTTGTGAGTGACATTGACCCTTGTTTTAATATAAGGAAAGGCATGAGATGTAGTCAGAATGGTCTTTCTTTTGAATTGTTCATGAAGTTCCCCATGGGCACGACCATCTAAAGTGAAGGGTGTACAGTACATGAAACGGCGAAGATTATAATTTTTGTCAAAATAAGTGATTCTGTCCTTCATCTCATATGTGTCAAAGTATGGCTCCACGTAGGTAATCTGAATATATGCCTGGCAAAGGAAAAAGTTCTTCATTTCCTCACTATTATATCATTATTTAGTCTTTCTCAGACAAAACTGCATATCTCAAAGATAGGCCTATATGTTATTACAGTCTAATCAACCATACCTTGTTAGGATCTAATTTACACTTGTCTACAGGATTAGAGTCCTTGATTACTTCAACCACATCCTCTCCAAATCTTTCTCCATAAAATCCCTATAATTAAAAAAAAAAGAAATCTTTACTTGAAGTTAACAAGATAAGAAAACAGAGAAGACTTTCAAGGGAGACTCCTGAGCAAAATTAAGGGATTTATTAACATCTGTACAAACACGTCAATAATTACAAAATAACAATTACTTAAGGCTCACAAAAATGATACTAGTTTATACGTTTGCATGGTCTTAGTCCATATTTATTTGACATTATTCCCATCTATATACTTCAATAACACATAATATGAGAAAACAACATTTTTCTCCTATAAAAATATAGGATTCCACAACAGGTCCTCAAAAGAAACAAAAAGGGAACAAAAAGCAAAGACAAAAGGACCTCATTATCTATGATGTATAGGATTAGTTTTATTGAGTTTGATGTGGCCTGACTTCTTACAGACCATGGGTCAATGAAAAAGTATTATTTTTTTTTTAGCAGCTGATAGGTATGATGATCCAAACCCTTGACCTTGGTGTTACCAGCACCATGCTCTCCCAAGTAAGCTAACCATCAGCCCAGTATTCATTTCTATGAATAATTTAAAGAAACATTCCAGAATTTCCAAATAAAAGCATTGACTTGTTGAAGTTTTGTACAGTTTTAGACTTTGAAAAGGCAACCTTGGGTCAAGAACATAGAGATTTTTCCATATGACACTTGGTAGCAGCATGGGCAATGGATGGAGCTACTCAAAAGGAAAAATTCAATCTGAGTCTTTAAAGGAGAAACCCCCACCCTCATACCAAAGGTATTTTTATGATTAAGTAAGACTGGAAAACACTGTTTCAATTAATACTTCCCAAGACTTACCTAGCCTCCTCTTGAAAAATAAAAAGTCACAGTTTGAGCCAATTTATGAAAGGTAAGCATGGTGAAGTCACAAATAAGAACATAACATTCAAGAAATTAACAACAGCTGAGAATAAAAACAAGCCTAGAGCACTGCTTCTCAAACTGTTTGTATGATACAAATCACCTATGGACTTGTTAAAATGAAGATTTTGATTCAGAAAGTCTGGGATGGGGTCTGAGATTCTGCAGTTCAAACAATCTCCCAGGTGATGCCAATGTTTCTGGTTCATGAACCACATTTTGACAAGAATAGGGAAAGGTCGGAAAGAATAACTATTAACAGAAAAGACTGATTAGCCCAACGAATATGAAAATCAATCATTTATGGTGAAAATTAAGAAGGTGTAAAAACTAAAGAATTCTAAGTAGTTTTAAGGTGCGATTTCAGGCTTTTAAGCTCTAAAAATATCTCACTTGGAGCCAGGCTAAGCCACAGAGATAATGCACTTGGGTCAGAAATTTCTTGGGGTTCTGGTTCTAGTTCCATTATTAGCTGCTACTTAATGCCATATGTCTCTTTTTACAATATGTGGATAATGTGAGTACTATACATTTCTCCATAAATCAAAATAATCTTGAAAGATATAAGGGTTTCTAAAATATTTGTGAAAATAGAACCTCAAAAAAAAAGTTAATATTATTCTACTGTTGCCATAAAAGATTTGAAGGATTTGAAAGAGTATTATTGTAACTGTCAAAAATCCTTATGCTCTATGTGAGTAATTTATTTGGCAGGATTTGGCTTATTAAATAATTAAATCTGAATCTGAAAGTCTATTCATCACAGAGAATACAAATTAAAGAGGACATTTGATGAACCACCACAGTATTCACCTCCAATCTGTGAGATATCTCTGCAAGTTTGGTTATTGCAGGCTCCTTGTAAACAAATTCCTGTTCATCCAAATCCCCGAATTTGGTTCCATAAAAACCAACACGAAAATAGGTGCCAAACATCCGCTTACCATCCTAGGTTTAGGAAAATGAAGAAACGTTAATATAAAGTCTTTTTGTTTTTCACAGTATGCTGAGATTACTATAGTAAAAAATTTCTAAAACATTAATTCAAAATTATAATATTTTATTATTTTTCAAATAAAAGTAAAAACAAAGTAAACAGTTTTTTCATTATTTCTAATAACATTATGCAATTAAGACTTTTACCAAGTGACTAAATCACATATGGTATATATTTTTCAGTTTGTACCAACTGACTATATCACATTGATCTATGTGTTTAATGTTCATGAAATTGAGATAAATTAACTTATTTTCCTTATTGCAAGAAAAGATGCTTGTCATAATACGAACTGTATCTTAACTGTCCTAATGTTAGAGCATACTAGATGAAGATAAATTTAAATATAATATTAATAACCGTTTTTAAATTAGCATTAGCCTTTATATAACCTCTTCTCATATATTAAATAAGATCATAGAAGTTAGGACCCATGTATAACACCTAGCATAAAGCAGACAATCAGTAAATGTCAAGATCCTCTCAAAGCACTAAAGCAAAAACTCTACAATTAGTATCCCTGTTCCAATAAAAATATTTACATGTGGAAAAATAAACATGGAATAGAAAGGAGAAAAAATGTATGAATGAAAGATACTAAGGAAAAACTTTTTTAGATGAGTTGGTTATTCTTTAGCCCCCAAACCACCCACTTCATGCATAACATACATTCATGTCAGGTACAAAGTACACTAAGGTAGGTCACCTTAATTCTCACACAGCACATCCAAAAGCACATTCTTTCAATAAATATAAATACTTGGAAGCTTTCTATTCAATTTTTACAATTTAGCCATTTCAGAGGGATTTTGTGGTGGCTCCTATATACATAACCAAATATTAAGTGTTTAAATACCTCTGAATAATACCCTTTAAGTCTAATCTGCTTTATATTTATTTTTCCTATATTGGAAAGGCAAAAAGGGTTTATAAAATAAGTTACAAGTGTTTCAGGTAATTAAGCAAAATGGGAATCTCTGAGCCTTAATTTATCAATTTTGTAATACCAAAAAAAATAAATAAATAAATAAAAACCGTTCAGGAACTAAAAATATCCCCACATATTTGTCCCAAATCACTACAGTTTTAAACAAAAATGTCTTTGGAGCTGAAAAAATTGGGGGTTTTTAATTTAAAAACTTTTTTTTTCATAGTTACTTTATTTCAAAATTTAACAGACATAAAAATTAACTGATTTCTATAGCAAATGAAATCTCTCTAGATAAGCAAGTTCAATCAAAATTCTGATTAAAACCATCGTAAGCCAATGAAACAATATAATAATAGTAAATTTTGACATAATAAAGAAATGAAGGCACTGCATGGAAAATAAAAAAGGCAACAGAGAAAATTACTTAAAATTTTTAATTGTTATTTTTCAAAATGTCATATACATATATATATTCCTACTTTTTAAAACCACGAATATTAAAATATGGTTCTTCTACCTGTACTCTTCCCAGAAGTTTCCAGTTTAAAATGTTATTCCAATTCTTCAATATTCTGGCCCGTTAAATATTTGAAGACAGCACTTAAGGTTGTTTCCCTTAGCTAAACTTTCCAGTTCTCAATCAATCTTCATATGACAGAAATTACTATCCCTCTTGCACTTTATTAGCTTTTCAATGCCATCTTTTAAAGTGTGGTATCCCAGAAATAGACACAATACTGCTGATGTGATCTGACCAGTGAAGGTATCAGCGGGCTCACTGCCTCCCTGGATATGGACATTGAATTTTATTAACACAACTTAAAACTTAACTACCTCTTCTTATATACTTTCTCATTCTGACATTCAGTTCAAAGAAAAAAATTATTAAGTGTTTATTACGTTAGCCACTGTTCATCCTCAGTAACAGGAAAATAATAAGTCTTGCTCCTCAAGAGAGTAAAATTGTATTCAAATAATTACAATACAAAGGTTTATATGCTCTTGTAAAAAATGGTATAAGAGCTCTTGCTTCCTCTTGCCATGTGATCTGCTTGTACCTGCTGGCTGCCTGCCACTTTCTGCCATGAGTAGAAACACCCTGAGGCCCATGCCAGATGCAGCTGTCCCAGAATCGTAAGCCAAATAAACCTCTTTCCTTTATAAAGTACCCAGTCTCAGGTATTTCTGTTATAGCAACACAAAACGGACTAAAAGAGAAAATTGGTACAGAGGAGTGGGGTGTTGTTATACAGATACCTGAAAATGTGGATGCATCTTTGGAGCTGGGTAACGGGCAAAGGTTGGAAGAGTTTGGAGGACTCAGAAGACGACAGAAAGACAAGGGAAAGTTTGGAATGCCTTAGAGACTTATGTGGTGGCAAG